AGTCCAACAAGATTACAGGTAGTTTCTCTAAAATAATATTTTGATTATTTCTGACAAGAATTTCTGTCACTCAGATACAAGTAGATGCCAGATCTACTCAGACTCAAGCTAGATGTAATGGTAGCAGTTGTGTTTGCAACTCATGCCTCACTCACCTACAAAATAAGCTTTACAACTAAAGTGTGCATGGGTGAGTCCCATTGGGGAGAAAAGTGCCCAAAGTGTGGGAAGGAAGCCTGACAGGCAAAGAGCTACTTCCACTTAACATACTTTTCTTTGGAAAAGTTATATTGTCTATTATCTCACCATAGCTTTCACTGCTTTGCAAGTAATTTAAGCAGACACCTAAACAAACAAAGAAACAAAAACTAGACTAGCCCTTTCACATCAAATTTGGCCCTTAGTTTCTAAGGCGGAATTAAAGCAGAAGTTTTCAGATTCGAATTTGTGCTCTACCAAATACAAGGCAGGACTGACATCAGCCCAGGGCCTTTGAGCAGCACATGGTCTGGTGCAAATGTGCAGATTATTTCATCCGAAAACCACTCATGAAGGTCCACACAATGATACCTTTGATTTATGACATTATACCATTATAAAATTCTAGTACTTGAAAGAGTATGACATTTCAGAGGTGTGGGTGCAGAATCCATGATTCTAGAATGGCAATATTGATAAGAGAGAGAGAGAAACATATATGATTAACGTTTTTATTGCCAGCACAGTTCTATCAACAACACTGAATTTCATGAGTTCGAGTCAGTGGCTCTTAAATTTGCTTTTTCCTCAAGGGAATAATGAAAAATACAGCCAGGAAAAATCAATCTAATGCTAAGAATTTATCTGACAAGTTTTTGCCAGAAGGGATTTCTTTTTTTTTTTTTAAACTGACACAATTCAAATCTGCAAAAACACAGACAGGGGGCATTGCCATGTAATGTTGCTGACTCTAAAAAGAAAGAGAGAATGAAATTAAGGGCTCTGTTACTCAGTAATCAAGTCAGAGCAATTCTGGGTATGACTGGACTTCAAAAAGTTAATTTCCAGATCAGAATAAATTGCTGTAGCATTACACACCTTGACTAGAAAAAGCCAGTGAAGTAGACCACCTACTGCCAGGAAGCCTTTCAAAATGTAAAACCTCCAAGGCCTCCTCCAGCTCCTCAGGGATCAACGGCTGATCCCGCTTCAACAAGAAAGAGGAAAGAAGGAACAAAATTATCTCCCCCCACCCCCGGTAGAGTAGTAGTCAGCATTAGTGTTACTGGTGTTGAAAAGTTGCACAAAGAGGACACCTTTTCAGTGGCTGCTCTCAGGCTATGAAACTCTGTTCAAGAAAGATGAGGCTGATGTTCTTCTTGCTCTTCTTTTATTTCAACAAGCCTTTAGCTACTGATCAGGATCTTTCGACAGCTGTTTTACTGTTGTGGCAACAGCTGCTGCTCTTATTATTGTTTTTTAATGTCTTATTTTAGTCTGATGATTTATTTAACAGGGTTTTAACACTGTAATTTATTGGCTGAAATCCATCAGTAAATCCATTGGATCAATGGAATTCAGTAATCAAATCCCCACAGATACCATGGGACTACTCTAGCTGCTATTAACTACTGGATTTTAGTCATGGTGGGTTTTTTTTTAGCAGAATGTATTTTTAAATCTATACTATAAGTTACCTTGGATCTTACAAAGGAAGATATAGGACGAAATCAATCAATCAATCATCCTGATATCTGTTGGGAGGCAAATTCTGCCAAATATGGACTTTCCAAGAAATTCCTGGCTTTTATGGTTGATAACTTTTCCCTGCAAAAAGTGGAGGAAGAAATTAGAGGAGTGGTTATCCTTGATCCTAGCCAATGGCGATGGCTTGGTGGAAGAAGTGGCAGAAAGAGGAACTCTGGGGGAAAGTGACCATGTCCTACCTGAATTCTTCTATTTTAAAAGAAACAAAAACAGAGTACAGTCTTCTATATATGCTGGATTCTAGGAAAGCCAATTTTAATAAACTCAGAACAACGATAGGTAAGGTCCCATAGCAAGAAATCCTAATTGGAAAAGGAGTCTAAGATGGGCAGGTGTTTCTAAAAAAAGAAATTCTAAAGGCACAACTACAAACAATTCCAACAAGAAAAAAAGGTGGAAGACAGGGGGAAAAAACAATGTGGCTTCACAAAAAGCTCAGAGAGGATCTGGGGGGGAAAAAGGACACATATATGAAGTAGAAGGAAGACCAGGCCAGAATATTCCATAACATTCTGATTAGCAAGCTAACTAGGTGTGGGTTGGATAGAACAACTATCAAGTGGATACACAGTTGGTTACAGAATCATACTCAGAGAGTGCTTATCAATGGCTCCTTCTCAGACTGGGAAGTGGTAACTAGTGGGGTGCTACAATGCTCAGTTCTGGGCCTGGTGCCCTTCAACATATTTATTAATTACTTGGATGAGGGAGTACAAGGATACTTATCAAATTTGCAAATATCATAAAATTGGGTGGTACAGCTAATATCTTGTGAATTTCGTTGTATGGTATACTGTGTATATACTTACAATGACAATAAATTATATTATTATCTTGGAAGCCAAAAATAAAATTCAAAACGTTCTTGAAAAGCTTGAGTATTGGGCTGAAAACAACAGAATGAAATTTAACAGAGGTAAGTGCAAAGTTCTACAGCTGGGTGGGTGGGAAGTGCACAGTTACAAGATGGTGGGGAATAACAACTCCCAAGCCTCTTAGGTATTTTAGAAACTGTAATAGCAGATGCTGCTTTTCCAAGGTCTAATAAAGTCTCAGACTCAAACTCTATTCCCTTTCCTCTTCTCCTTCTGCCTGACCATGAGGAAAAATACATCATGATTTCCTTCATGATGTACAGTGGTGCCTCGCTTAACGAGCGCACCGTATAACACCAAAATCACATAGCGATTAGGGTTTTGCGATCGCAAATGCGATTGCATACCGATGGCCCCTATGGGCGAAACTTGCATAGCGAAGATCAGTAAGTGTTTCACTTACCGATCTTCGTTTTGTGACGCCTGACGATCAGCTGTTCGGCGGCTCCAAAATGGCCGCTGGAAGCCCCGAAATGGCTGCACGCAGCGTTTTTGCACCCTCCCCTCACTTACCGAGGGTGCGAAAATGGCTGCTGGCTATGGGAAAACTTCGCTGAACGGTGAGTTTTGGAGCCTATTGGAACACATTAAACTATGTTTAATGCATTCCAATGGCTTTCCCCATTCCGTACAGCAATGTTTTCACATAGCGAGGGTTAATCCGGAATGGATTAACCTCGCTATGCGAGGCACCACTGTAGTCTCCCCATGAGGTACATGCCCCCCTCTATTCAGCACTGGTTAGCCCTCATCTAGAGTACTGTGTCCAGTTCTGAACACTTTAAAGTACAATATATTAACTTTAAAGTACACTTTAAGAAGGTTGCCCAACAAACTGAAACAAGTTCAGAGGAGGGCAACAAGGATGATCAGTGAACTGGAAACCAAGCCCTATGAGGAAAGACTGAAAGAATTCGGCATGTTTAGCCTTGAGAAAAGAAAACTGAGGAGACGTATGATAGGATTTTTCAAATACTAGAAAAGTCATCATATAGAGGAGAGGCGGGATCTATTCTTGATGATCCCAGAGTGCAGGACATGTAATAATGCTCTCAAGATACAGGAAGCCAGATTTAGGCTGAATATCAGGAAAAATCTTCTTCACTGTTAGAGTAGTACGATGGAACCAATTACCTTGAAAGTAAACATGAATAAACCTTGGCTGGTTAATACTTGTAGAATAAATGGGGCTGTATAAAAGTGGAACAAATAAATAAATAAATAAAATGCTCCAACACTAGAGTCATTCAAGAGAAAATTGGACCATCTATCAGAATCGCTTTGATTAGGATGCCTGCACTGAACAGAGGGTTGGACTGAATAGCCTTATAGGCCCCAATCATTCCATGATTCTTAAATTCATAACTTGTGACCCACCAAGGTGAACACATGTTCACATATATTGTGGCATGAAAGCAGATTCAATAAGCCTCTTGTTTCAGCTACCCTCCTGGATCTTGAGCATTAGGTGATGCCATCAAGCACTCAACAAGTGACAAGATATGACCGATGAGCTGCATTCTGTTTTTTGGGACACATTTTGGTGCAGATCCTTCCTTCCTCAACATTATTTTTGTAAGAATAAAAACAGAAGAAGTGGGAAGACATGGACCATTTGTAAACTAAAGGTCATCTCAAGAGGCAGGGCGAATACATAAGAAAAGCTCCTTCTGAAAAGGTGATAGGTACTACTTATTCATTTCATTTTCCCTTGATTCATTTTGTTTTCCCTTGAATCCAACATACTGAGGGTTGCAGCAAAATTTGGAGACAGAGTAAAGAGTGGCTAGAGGCAGGAGTAAGATATAGGAACACAGACCAATATCTGATAAACAATAGACTGTGACTACAGGTGAAATCTTGCATTTTTTCTTTGTCTTCTCGCAGCTTTGGTAGCTAAAGGCCAAACATACATCATTATTCACACCAGTTCTCCTGACATTTTATAATTTAATATCATCTGAGCTATGGTAAACATCCATTAGATATCAAGCTATTGGACCATTCAATATGCCAAAGGGCTAACCTTGCGCTCAGAGGACACATAATAGTTAACAGCATAAACCAAGCAACTCTGATCTGGAAATCTTTCTTGAAATTCATAGCCTGAGACCTGAACAACTCTATTAATCTCTTATAAATAGAGTAGTTGATAGATAAACTGGTAGCGTATATATTTGTAGAATACAAACTGCAGTATTTTAGACAGCTCCTCACTAAGGATTCAGGAGGGTGAATGCACAACATTTATATTATTCCAAATCTTGCTTCACAGTCTGTAAATAGCTGCCTTAGCAGAATGTATGAGCCTTATTTTCATATTGAAATAACTAAAAAGTTAATGTGGAAAGGATAAAAATCTGCTGTTGATGTCCTTACCTATTATTTTTGGTGCACACAATTCCGATTCAGAGATTTTTGGTTTTTGCTTCCTGTACGATCTGCATTCTGATCTCTCAAGGACTGACTTCCTTTCCTTCAAGTGATCAGTCTTCAGTGTTTTTATAGCAGGATTACTACAGAAACTACAGCGCTTGCACATCTTATCTTGGGAGGATGGATAAAATAAAACAAACTGAAAATAATACTACAATGAATGGCAAAATGATGAAAAATGTCTACAGCACAAAGAACAATGTGAAAAGGAAGACAAGTTTAAATATTGTTGTGTAAGAAAGGGAGGAAAATAATACAAGGATGAGAATAAGTAAAATGATAGGCTGGAACATCTGGGAAAGTAAATACAAAGACAAGATAATGCTGTATTAATAGAACAGCAAAATTAGCATTTTAAGAGTAGGGGAGGATGCATACCGAGCCCTGGCTTGAAAATTCTGATTAGTTTTAGCCATGAGGTTCTGAAAAGAGAATAAATAATGATGCTGGTGGCTTTGTCTTAGAAACAAAATTCATTAGTAGAAACATACAAGTTCACTCTGAAGCTAGCTATATTTCCTCAGGTCTAAAACTATTGTAACATTTTAATTAGAAAATACTGTCATGTTTTTTTTGTTTTGCCAGTTCATACAGCATAATTTCAACCTTTGTTTTCACCCACTTAATTTGCAGTTTCAAAACAGCTTTATGTTCAGAGTATCATTGATTTGATATACAAAGGAAATAAATATGCCCTTTCAGTAAACATGAATAAACCTTGGCTGGTTAATATCTGCAGAATAAATGGGGCTGTATAAAAGTGGAACAAATAAATAAATAAATAAAATTGCCAGCTGGAACCTGATGATTTGGGATTGACGATACAACTTATCACCATAATGTATTTAACAGAACATGTGACTTGAGGTGTTTATGATAAATATATATTTTCTACCAAAGATGGCCTGTGGGCTAAGTAAGAGGAAAATTAATTTTGGCATTTCAGAATAGGCCCACCCCTCCAGCCTCCAAACTGCAGACTGCCTATGTTCCTTATGGACTATTCCCACAATGGGTATACCATTTTTGAAAGAAACATACAAGCTAGTTATTTTATATACACATTTCAGCTCCGTTGCCCCACCACAACGTGATGCTGGGATCTACATGAAGCTGCTGTAATTAAAACTTCAATTTCCTGTCAAAACAATGCATGTTGCTTTGGCATAATCAAAATAAAAACTGCAGCAATGGATCATTAAGATTTAATACCACGCCAACATGCCAGGAAACCCGAGCACCTTTAGAGAGCTGCATGTCTAACCCATTCAAGGAGAGCCATGTAAGGGTTAGCCACACCTGCCAGAAAATAAAACAAGTTACTTTGCTGTCAACAAGCCCTTCTTTTAAACAAGGTTGGAGGACCTTTCATCCTTTCAGATTAAACTAAATCTGCCTCATGCCCTAGTCAGCATGGCCCATGGCATGGGTTCTTTGACAGTATCTACAGCACAAAGAACAATCTGAAAAAAACAACAGAGAACAAAGGTTCTCCATTCTTGCTTTTAGATTGTCCTGGGCAGCCTGCCATTCAAACTGAAGGAATCATTCCATGTTCTTACATTAAAAAGGGAGAAGATTTATCTCAAAGAAAGCTATCCCAGCTTTCCCCAATATTGTGCCCCCCAGATTAAATGGATTACAAGGTCCACCATTCTGGCCAGCATAGTCATTGAATGACACCAAGGCACCATATAAAAGGATGGGTTATCCATATAATTAGCAATGAGGTCCCACCAGCTACAGCTTCAGACTTGAAACAGTTTCAGTTCTAAATTCATAAAATCACGTTCTGAAAGAATGGGAAGGATAGTTTTAGAACCATCCAGAAAAGCACTGGCTAGCAGGCCGGTGTCTTTCACATCCCCTCATTCCAGACAGTTTTATGTAATTAGATCACTTTATGTTATCTGATGTTAGTATTATCCAAACATTTTGGGTGGTCACATATTTATGTTAAATTTTATTTATTTATTTATTTTATTTATTTATTTATTTATTTATTTATTTATTTATTTATTTATTTATTTTTGTTTCTTTCTTTGTTTGTTTCTTTGTTTGTTTCTTATTATTGCACTGTTGTTTTCTGCTGTGGTTTTTCCTGTTATATTTAGTGTTTATTTTGTGAATTGAAAGGTTGTTTAATGTTCGTAATTTTTCTTGAAAAAATTAAACGTCTTGAATGCCTAAGAGATAAAGCAGGGCATATATATTTTAAATAAATGCATGGATAAAGTATAAGATTATGCTTCAGATATTTCTCTGTGTGTAATCATATCTACCATGTGACTTTTCTCTAGTTTACTGTTCAAGGCTTCCTCAACCTTCAGTTGGCAGGCAGACTGTTTTAACAAGAAATATATCCAAAGTAAAGGCGTACCTTGGTTTACGAATTTAATGCGTTCTCCGGGACGTTTTGTAATGTGAAAAATTTGCAAACTGAAACATGGTTTCTCATAGGAATGCATGCATGGGGGTGGCACTATAAATCTCCCAGGCTCAATGCAAACTTGCTTCATATTGCGGGGGGAAATCGCAAACCAAGGCATTATTTTCAATGGATTTTCATTCATAAACTGAAAATTACATTAACCGAAGCATTCGTAAACCAAGGTACCACTGTATGACAAGAATCAAAGAAGAAGAAGTAGTTTCTCTGCCAAGGGATTCATTCCCCCTAGAACAGACCACTGGCTGAATTCTCACTTTTTTACTCAGCACTAGTACTCAAAGTTACTACTCCTATGGAAAACATTATCCAGAAAAAAAATTCTTAACAAGTTTTTAACCATTGTTCACCTGCCTATTTCTGTGGTAAATATTATGAAAGTGGTTTTATTTCAGTCTATTGTATTTATAATGGCTGCTTTTCTCTAAACATTTTGTAACATTTTGCTTCTGGAAACCTGGTTAGGATAATATTAACTTTAGAGTGACCTCAGATAAGACCATGGAGGTTCAGCTTTTCCCTGCTGCTACTCACTGTTTCTATCCCCCTCATTAGCACTGTCTGCTGGCTTTCCAGGATGAAAGCTGGTGGGTGAGCAAGCAAAAAGGTAGTGTCATTTGCTCCTCCTCCTTATGGACATCATCTACTCCGGTGGCTCCCAACCTTGGGTAACCCAGGTGTTCTTGGACTTCAATTCGCAGAAGCCTTCCCCACCAGCTGTGCTGGCCAGATGTCTGGGAGTTGCAGTTGAAGAACACCTGAGTTACCGAAGGGAACCATTGTTCCACCTCATCTGTTCCGCTGACCTGGGAATAAAGGCACACAAGCAAACTAGTGCACAGGGAGAGATGAGCAGAAGGGCCCAGGAGCTTCACTGGAGAGATGTAGACCTAACAAGTGCAAGCCTTGCCGAACCTTGATCCCAGCCCTCTTAAGTTTAGGATTCAAATTATTTGTTTTATTTAGTTATTTATTTAATTTCTAAACCACTCATCTGGCAACCCAGGTCACTCTGGGAGGTTTAATAACAATGTGGGAGATTTTACATCAAGCCACAGAGATTTACATTGCATAATGTACACTTTGTATTATCTAAGTATTTTAAGAAAAGATCAAGTATAGATCAAGTATCCTTGCTGCAACCTTTCACCTAGATGGTTTATTAAGTAAAAATCTACCTGACTCACTGACAAAGGTTCATCCGTGTTTCGATCATCCGAAGATTTTGGAACTTCGAGTCTGTCAATAAAGGCCTGGAGTTCTTTCCTAAACGCCTTCATCTGAGCATTTATCCGATACAGAAGTTCATGTTCCCGTATCCTACTGCCATCATCTTCCTCATCCGTAAGTCCAAACATGTCTCCATTTGCCACATAAATTCTTGCCTCTGTTATTATGGTGCTTGTGTCTGAAATCAGACGGTCTATTGTCTTGCCCAGGCGTTCTGCTTCACAGCGGATGTCCTTCATTTGTTGCCGGTCTGTGAAGCTTTTCTGCCAACCTGCTGGTGGAGAATAGAAGGTTCTAGTGGGAGTCAAGCAACGGATGTTGTGGACTTCCTCTGAGTCACTTTCCCCACCAATGGGCCCTTCTCTTTTGCGGTGTGGGGGACGAGAGTCATCATCACTTTCTTTTTTCCCTGCATCACTTTCAGCATCACTGTCTCTGGGACTGCCTCGGATCCCTAAATGAGAGGCCAGATCATAGCGCTGCATGTTAGACATCAAGACTTTGTTCTCATACTGTAGCTGCATGACCTTACCACTGAGTTCATTGATCTGCATGCGGGCAGCTTTGAGTTCTTCTTGCAGTGCTTCTGTCTTGGCACTATCGTGGTGTCTTGAACTGTCATGAGCTCCACTCTTGTATTTGTATTTGTTCAGCTCTGCTGTGATGCGTTTGTTTTGTTCTTCTACATCAGCTAAGTTCCTCCTCAAAAGTTCAGTTTCATCCTCAACCAGCTGCAGATGCTGTCGCAACTCTGAGATAGATTCATTCTGTTCCCCCATTAGAGGGTTGGCTGCTCCTGAGAAATCATCTCCTCTTAAATCATCAAGTTCTGCTTTAAGTCCTCTGTTTTCTACTTCCAGTTCCACTATTTTTCTTCCCAGAATATTAGCTTCTTCCTCTACAAGCCTCAAACGAAGCTTGAGCTCTGATTCTCTTGTGGTAGGTGGGCCTCCAGCTTCTCCTTTTGGTAAGGGACTGTCAAGATCACCATAAAATGACCTATACTTTTGCAGGTCATGTTCAATTCGATCTTTTTCCTTGTCTATTTTTGCCAGCTTTTTCCTCATTAGGGCAGCCTCCTCTTTGACAAACTGCAACTGGCATTTCAGATCTTCACTGTCCTCCTTATAAACAGAAAAAAAAAATTCAAAAATTACATGCAAGCATGGAAATCCATCAGAGTCTTTCCATTAATTTAAGCAGAGGCAAGATTCCATTTAATCCATATATGAGCCACAATATGTTTATGTACTGTTGTAAAACCTAAATATGCCACTAGATCTCTATGAAAAGCAGAATCAAGTTCATTACGAACAGTATGTCGTAAATCATGCTGCCTCAAAACCAACTCAACATCATTTATTAAACAGAGGAATTATGTTTAAAACTTTTGAACAGGCACTGACAGAAACAAGACCCAAGATCTTTTGTCAATGTCGATTTCACATATTATACAGAAGCAAACGCGAGCTTACCACCAACCACACAATCAAGAGGAAGCTATAGCCTATCTGTGCCTACATTATACTGTACATATGATTGTATTTTTTTTGCATTCACAAGTGGATGAAGTCCTGTTGAATAACTGCTTATGGAAAAAGCTGATGACATCATTAATCTTAAAACTCCTGCAGGTTCTGAGGCTCCCTAGAAACACTTTTCCATTGGGGGAAGCTTTTGGGAGCCTTGTGAAGGGAAAGCTGTTAATGCCCCAAAATTACCACTACTGGTCCTGGTCCTGCTCCAGGTGATCTTCAGGCATTAAAGGCTCCCCTCCACCCCAATACGGACGCTCCCACATGCTTTCCTGGGCTGAAAGTGACCCTGGGAACCTGGGGTAGGGGTGGGGAAATGAAAAGAAAATAAATTAAAGATTATCACCCACAGCTGATGGCATAATCACCCTTTATGCACATTGAGTTACTCAACAATATTTCAGTCACTATATTCTAAGTCTCAAGTTCACATTTAGAGAATACCAAGTGACCCACACTTGTTTATTATAAATGGCTGCCGTTCACACCAAGGTTCTGACTTGTAGTAAGCCACCTAGAGTGTTCGCAATGAACAGATAGGCGGGGTATAAATGGAATAAATAAATAAATAGTACTATAAAGAAAAAGGGAGTCAATAATACATAAATACAGTCAGTCTCATCTCAAGATGGTTTCATCATGGAAGTAATGATCTAATTTTATCAGCAATTTTAACCAATCAGAAGTAGGTAAGACTTTAAAAACTGAAAGTACAAATACACTTGGTTGCATAGATTTTTGAACTCTATAGACAACAAAGGCCTTCAAGTTTATTAGACTGTATCATGAAGAGACAGAAATACTAGAGCTCACCTCAGTGGGTGTCTGCTGTGACTTTTTTTCTGACTTCTGCAAATCTTTGCTTCCTCTTCGGCGCAAGGACTGCTGTAAAAGGACAATACAGTATTTTATTAAACATTTTACTAATTCTGTATGTAATGCAAATCCATTCAGTCATCATTTGAAACACTAGAAACTTGCCCAGATTGCTCTTTCTGATTCTTCTCCTGGCTGTACTGACATTGGATATAACAGCTGTAAGCAATGATCTTGTGTTCCCTTCAAGACAAAGATTCTTCAGCTTGTAGGTCCTTTCCCTTCCTGCATAGCCATTTATTTCAACTTCAATAATCAGCTGCAAGAACCTGTACTTTTCATCTCTCACTGACTGACATAGTCTAGCTTTCCACATTTTATGAATGTTATGATTTTCTGTATTTCTTCATTTATTTTAATGTTTCTTTGTTGGTTACCTTCTCAACCCAATATATTCTTTGTATCCTGTGACAAAACTAAATTTTGAATGCTTCCGCTTCTATCCTTTTCGGTGTAGTCCATTACTCAATGCCATATAGTACAACAGAGAATACACAATGTTGTATAATGTGTATGCTCAAAGTCAGTTTTAGGTTTTTGCTGAATATTATATTCTTCAACTTGAGGAAGCTGTTGAGCCATCTCTATTCTGAACATTTGCTTTTCGACTATGCTCATTAATAACTTCATTAATGTATTCATTTACATCAAGGTGGTCTGTTTTGTAACTCATAGTACACTAAGCCTTTGTGCACTTCCACCACATGCTCAAAATGTATGAAACGTACTTATTTTAAAAACATATTTTACAAGCCAATGTTTTAAGGGGCTCTCAGAACTCCTTAATTAGTTTTTTTGTATTATATAATGCCTATAATTATCTAATGCCTGTAATTAATTTCAGCTGTGGTAAATCTTACAGCACATAAGCAAAGCATTATCTATCTATCTATCTATCTATCTATCTATCTATCTATCTATCTATCTATCTATCTATCTATCTATCATCTATCTATCTATCTATCTATCTATCTATCTATCTATCTATCTATCTATCTATCTATCTATCTATCTATCTATCTATCTATCTATCTATCTATCTATCTATCTATCATCAGATTAGGCACTGTGATTGTCGGGATGCCAGCAAACTTGAAAAAGGGCTCTTGACTGACCCCAGTGAGGTCTCTCACCCTGATCTACCTAATCACGTAAATAATATACAAGATAATCATATAAGTGATTTTCCCCCTCCAGAAAGGTCCCCTTCATGTGTGACTCTGGTTGCAGGACTTATCATATAACTGGTTGTGTAACAAGGAATCTTTTCAGAGAAAAAAACTTCTACAAAGTTGCCTTTATTCACACGAGAAGCATCAGCAGGATTTTAACCTTAATGTTTTGGACTTCTTTCTCAGTCTAGGGAGGGAGTCAGCTCTTGTGTTCCATCAGACAGTAACAATATTCTGATTCCTTCCAAAGTATTGTAATCATCCTTGCCACAACATGTGTCAACAATTCCAATTGAAATTAGGAACAGAAACACCATTATTGATTGAATGATTGATTGGTTAGTTGGTTGACTGACTGACTGACTGACTGATTGGATTTATATCCTGCCCATCTAGACCAGAGGTCTACCCTGGGCAGTTTACAAATTTAAAAACCATGAAACCAAAAAACATATATTACAGATCCAAGGTGGCAAAAGTATAAGAAATCAAGATATGGCAGGAGAGAAAGCCTGCCCAAATAGCCAGGTTTTAAATTTATTCCTGAGTTTATTATTCCATAGTAGGACAAACAGTGAAAAGTTCAATCCGGTTGTTAGTCCAAACTCATTCAATCAATGGGATTTAATATTAAGTGTAACTGACCTATCACTGATTCAGTGGGCCTGCTTTAGTTGATATAGGCAATTAGATATAGTTCTATCTAATCTACTATGATCTATGTATTATTTATTCACATAAGGATTTAAGAGTTATTCTTCAGAATAACCTCAGAGTTATTCTTCTAAGAATAGCTTATAATAAAAGAGTAAAACAACATTTAAAAACAGTAATCACAAACATCTCAATACAGTACACAGAGAAACAAAATAAGACATTGCCAGGTGACCCTTTGAAGAGGGAATTTCAGAGATGGTATGCCAAAACTGAAATGTCTAGTCTCCTGTCATCACCCACTTCTCTTTGAGATTGCCAAACCCAGAGAGGAACATCTGATGAAATTTCAACATCAGGGGGCTTTGTCAGACAGGCTAAGTGATGCCTGACCCTCCCTAAAGAGTCCTACAGAACCTTATAGACCTCCAAGGAAAAAAATCAGAAGCCTATGTTTGCCACACCTGCCATTACCCCCAAAAAGGTTTAACTCTGGAATGAAATCAGTCACTGACAATCATACCATTCATCTGAGCATCAAAGCATAAGTCTTTTGATTGTTGCAACAATTCCAGGCAACATTAGCTTATCTATTTCTACAAGTTTTCTCTATATTGCTTCTATGTTCTATATGCACAAAATTCTTTAGAGCTGTAAAATACAGAAGTCTTACAGCTATGAAGAAAAATGTAAGCACAAATACTTAAACTTATGAAAATACAAAACTTAATTTGTAGGCAGAATTTAAATCATGTAAAAATAAAGGAGCTTATAGATGTAAAAGGCACATTTAAAAAGCTGAGAACACATTTCTAAAATACCCAAATTAGAATAAAATTGTATAATATAAAAAGCATTTCTTAGCCTCTAACCATATTATTAGGCACACATGAAAAATAGTACATTTTCTAAGTGCTCACCCAGTCATCTGAAAGTTAAAATCTATGCAGGAAAATCCATAATTTCTTCATCTTTCTCTCTATGCTGTTCCATTATCTTTTCTCCCAGTTTCTTGGCTCAGCTTGGCTGTGCTAACACGATTGTTGTTGTTTGGTGTCTTTTGCTCAAAGGGGCATGGGGTTGTGATAATGAGGTGAGTGTGTGTGTCATCTTCTTATATTTCTAATTCTTACTATTTTTTTTATATTCTTCCTAAATATAAACAAGTAACTATAAACAACTTTATCTGGAGACCTTATCTATAGGTCTTGGAGTTCAAATGCTTAAAGATAATTTTAAAAACCTGCCCAATAGAGTCTCAATTATTCCAGCAGAGTTTATACTTCAGAGGTTTGTAACTTATTATCTGGCAAGTTGCCAATTTACTTAAAACATGTTTTGACTAGACCTTTTGCAAAGCCTGGAGTTGCAGGGGTCCACAGCATCCAAAATTAAAAATCCTAAATTATTAAAAGACCCAAATGTGGGTCCTACGTGGACCTACAAAAAGGGCAAAATAACCCTAACCTACATCCCCTTTAAGATGCAATAAAAACACTTCTACTATCAGAATGCTATGGTAGAGTGATTTTGTTCAGCTTGGGAGCCCTCAAATTGTTTTGATTCCATATAGTAAATTATTTCAAACTGCAATTTTAAGCACACTTTCATTTTCAGGGCTGTTTTTTCTATACTCCCCCCTTAATTATTTTAATAGTCTGTACATACAAAATTTCAAATATTGACAGCTTTAAGTGGGAACATATGTTCCTATAACTTTGGATTTATAGATTAAGGATAGCACACTGAAGCATGGCTGCAAAATATATGAGGATGCAGCATAACACTTTTAAAATCTGTCAAAAGATAATCCTTATGTTCACTTCCAATGTTTTTTCTATTTTGAAGTAGAGTTTACAATCTCATTTCAAATGGAAACTTGTGTACAATGAAATGCAGTAATCTAAACAAGATGTTCCAGGTTAACTTGGGTCAGATATGAAACATTCTGCTTCACTGCAGGCAAAAGGTGACCTTTCGATACTGCTATTTTCTACAGTCCTACATTTCTCATTTGATCAATGCTGTGCTCCTGCCTTCCCCAAACACTTTACAGCTTTCTGAGTGTCAAAGACATGGGCTTAGTGAAAAATATTTCACAGCAAGTTAATCTCATGTCTTGCCTTCTTGATGCAATTCTTAATTTCAGACAGGAGTTATAGGCAGTCTATCTATGTAATAACATTTCAATTGAAACGAGTAGCACTCATATAACACTTTCCTTTATCTTTTTTAAAAATGATTTTTCAAACTTCTACATATTATTATTATCATCATCATCATCATCATCATCATCGTACGGCTTATGCCAATACAAAAGAAGAATAAGCCATCCACAACTCAATTTAGCAACAGAAACAACCTCATTTTTCTTCCTACTAGGGATAGGGAAGTGTCATGTGTCTCAATCCTTGCCTGGCAATAACCCACAGTTACCTGTATCCACACTGCAAAGAATGGCACATGCCAACAGCCTGGATGATGGCCTGCTGACAACTCAGTCAGGAATTTAGCTGGAGGTGCAACACACCATCACTAGTGCTTTCTCCTTCAATTTGATAATAAAGCAAATTCACTTAGAAAGGAGTGTAAATGGCATCTTTTCCCAGTCAAGCCTTGATCAAGAACATGCGTTCTTAACCGGCCTTCTGTTCTTCTAGTTCAATCCCCAGTCCTGCCTCTCCAGACAGTTTGCTGTCTGGTTCTGACTTTTCAGTCCCAATGTTTGTGTTGCTCATCAATCCTATCTTCTGATCTGTCCATTAACTCTAATGTCTAGCACGTCCCAAATCCTTGACACCTGGACTACTTCTTTGCTGCTTAAAAGCCAGTCCTGAGCCGAAGTCCATCCTCATATACATGCACCTTCCTATTCAGCGTAACACAAATTTTGTGCATCACATTATTTGTGTTACTAGCCAGTTCACTTCAACAGAAGTATACTGCATACCCCTTTCTTCTGTTGAGCTGCATATTTCCAGGTTCCACTATCATTCTGATACTGCAAATAAAATGATGATTAAGATGTGTTTCAGAGAAAGGGAGGGCAAAGAAATAATCAGCGTCTAATGTCACTGAAATCCATACCTCAAATCCTGTATCTTCCAAACACAAGTCTACCATCTTCTCAAACCATTTAGATGTATGAAAATCTATCTTCCTCCCAAAATATCTGGAAGTCTTGCTTCCAATGGAAGAAACAATTAAGAGATTCCTGTATTTTAATATTTCCAGTGCAGAAAGAAGCTCTGCTGTACCATCACTGTTATAGCCATCCCACTGAATCGTAATATGATATACCCAAACTGCTGGCATCTATTCAAATTAAATATTTAGTTAAACCCCTAATAGCATATGCTTCTGGTAATTAGATTTCCAGGACAGTCACTATCAATCATGCTTTAAATTAATGGAAGTCTCCCATTATTACAAGAACCAGAATAGTAACAGATGGACAGCAAATATCTCCTAAGCACAGGAGTCAGTCATCCAAAACATAAACCAAGGAAGTTACCGAATATAGGTTTCATATAAAATTATATTTCAAGTTTTTCTATGTGGTACGTGTGGTGAATTTCATAGTTTATTTTTTATTCAGGACAAGAGGAAATGACACAACTCTGTAATGTGGGTCCATTTTATACACACTTTTTTTTCAATGTCACATTAAACTAACCAGGAATATCTACAGAATTACCACTACTGGTCCTTAAACAAACCAATTATTCTCGCTTTACAAATGAAACTGAATTTCAAAGTCTAAAGGATCTTCTGGGTTACAATACAACAGACATGTGGTACGTCTTCATTTTTGTGAGTATCAGGATGCACATATGGGATAGCTCACATGACTAAACTTAATCTGCAATATATTGTTTCCATGAAAAAAACATTAATTTCCAAGCCAGCCTCACAAAAGTAGGGTTGACAGTGTAGCGAAATGCCAAAAGGTGACATCATTCCTGCCTGTCCATCACAGAAGCTCAAGGGGGAGGAGCCAAGGAGAGGGCAGGAGGGGCGGAGTTAGAGAGACAGTTGGAGATGTGAAATGGCAGTTAAGGTTTAGAAGTGAGAAGAAGAGGGTTAGAGAATTGAGCTGAGAGTGTTAGGAGAGGGAATTGAGAAGATTAAACAATATATTGAACAAGCAGGAATGAAGTTTTAAGGACTATAAGAGAGATATTGATCAAAAGTATATAGTAGTTTGGAATAAAAGTGATTGCATACACAATCCAATCCGTATTAATACCTGATGCAGTTCTTACATGATTTACATTTATGATTTACTTGAAAATAAAAGAATATTTGTTAATTAAACCTCTGATTCCAAAGTTCAATCAATAATCCTTAGCTTTGGCAGTACACGTATATAACATAATTGGTATTAGGAGAATACCTGGTGGCAGCTGGAAGAGAAATGGGTGTAAGCCTTTGTGAGGGCCAGAATAAACGGGGGCCACAAGGTTGATCGCCACAGACAGCAGTGTGGCTCTTTCTTGAAATTTGATGGTGAGGGAAAGGAGGACATTGCTGTATGACACAGGACGGTACTAATTTCCTACTTATGTGCACAGACTGTAGAAGGTGATTACACCAGAGTATATTTTCCTTCTGACCCTCTGCTGATGGAAGAATTTATATATTAAAAACCTTCTTGTGTTCACCCAGCCCTGCATGTTTCCCAACTTTCCAAGTGAATGTTTTCCATGATCAACTGAAACAATGCAAATGCTGAACAGTGAATTGGAATCTCAAGGCTAGTTATAGGCTATAGTATATTATGCTGTAAGTATACATGTGAAGGAGAGTCCTAATTCCTTCAGGAAAAGAGATGGAAAAAAGCTTGGGAAGCAGGAACATGTAACCTGAGATTATTAAAAAAATAAGTACTATGCTAAATTCCATCAATATGTACAAGGAAATAAAAAGAACCCTAAAGCATTTTGAAGGTTAATATTGCCCCTCTCCCCCAGACAGCAAGGAGGAATAGAGAGCGAGGGGGAGGGGGAGGAAAGGCATAGGAAATGCAAATTGCTAAAATTGAGATTGGCTTAACAGAAACACATGACAAGCATCAGCATTTATTGCATTCAGCATTGCAGTATTAACATTCAAGGAAGAAAACACAGTTTCTTCAGTCAAACTGGATTAAAGGCCAAAGCCCAATTCAAACATGACCCCCAGAATGCGGGTGCCCACACAGCATGTTTAGTTTAGTCCCATGCAGCTATAGTGCTATTTGTAATAACTCAAAATGTGACTGAGTCACACTAGTGAGGCAAAGGCAACATTTGAAACAGCCTTAAGAAACATATGGGACTATACGTACTTGATTACTGGTTTAGTTACCCAAAGACCTGCAAATAGTTTGTGAACAATTTTAAGCAACAACAGTGTGATACATAACAAATCCGGAGACCCAGGTTATATTGACCCATCATCAATCACTGAATGGTATATGGACAGCTGGGCAATTACAACATAAATTGGGCAAATAATATTTGTGCTTTTTTACAAAGCTACACAACAAATGCATAACTGGAATTAGAAGCATCAAATATATACAGATGCAGATCCTGTTTGTGACTATTTAGTTGGTAAGTTAACCAACGAACATTTAACGCTCAGCTGAATCAAGATAGGACTCATGTTCTACTAAACACAAGAGGTTACAACTGAAAGAAGTAATTTCATCCTCCTCATCTTTATTATACAGGTTAATGAGGCAACAACGGTGTTACTAATTAGAGCCTTCAAAACTGTTACCTCCAGTGCTAATCTGGCAAGAAAGAAACATTTTCATGTGTAGAGTTCACCTGTAACCAAGTTTATTTTTTCAGGGTGGGATTTTAGAACAACAATGCAAACATTATCTGAGAGGCCAGACTGAGATCCAAAGAACACACCACATTTCTTAATCGTTCCAGACAGAATATCTGTGCCTAAACATCCATTAAAATATGAGATACTAGAAATATATGAAAATTCTACATCTGGCACAGTATCATCCACACTGAGAGTGGTTTTTCAACATTTCAGAAAGATGTCTTTCTGAGTCATACCCACTGATTTCAATGAGATTTTCTGCAGGTGCACCCTATGATACCATTAAACCATGGCCTTTATTTTATGTGTTATTTCATTACTGCTTCTCTTCCAATTTGTCCACTGTAGACATTACTCATAACCATCAATTTAATCATCAAAAGTACATTTCCTAGTTAGTATCTTTTCCTCTAGAAAGACTTCTGAAGATATTCAGAAACCAAACATATAGATACTGTTATCCTTTGTGACAGAAAAGAGAGAGAGAGATCAATCTCTTTCCTTCCTTTAGAGCAGCAGTCCCCAAGCTTTTTGGGGCCATGGACCGGCTGGGGGGAGCAAGCTTCATGAGTCGGGGGCAGGGGCACCCCCATGCTTGCGCGGAGTGCGTGTCGCACCTGCAGGGGGGTCATGCTCACATGCATACATGCAAGTGTGACACACACCCCGCAGGCACAACTCACTCCCCGCGAGCGTGACACAAACATTGCACGTGCGTGGGGTGTGTGTGGAGATCCGTATCCACAGCCCAGTTCCGGCAAGCACCGGGCCGTGGACCGGGGAGGTTTGACACGGGGGTGCCCCTGCCCCCGACGCATGAAGCTTGCTCCCCCCAGCTTTAGAGCACCTTTTGCATCAAAGTAAAACAATGGCTTTTATCTTTTCAAGGGGCTACAATCAAAACATTTTATTCTAATATCAACATGTCATTTGTTGGCTTTCTATTCATATTGCTACCAAGAAAGGTGAAAAATGATCTTATGATTATCCATCTGTTCTGTTCAAAGGAACCAATACAAATTACAAGGAAAAAAAGAGCTGAACACTTCCCCATTTCAGTAGCATTCTCAAAATCCAATAATCGTGATCAACGGCAAGTTAATAAGTAATCAAGAGAAAACTAAAGTTGGTTCACTCAAGATTCAGAATACTATGTCATTAACTTTAGTATTAACAGAATTCTAAATGCACCACCAAGCCCATCAATTTATTAAGGACAGTGTATTTTTTTTTAATTCAAGGCATCCTTTCACATCTCACCTCGTTAATCTGAAATCCTAGTAACTGTGCCTCTTATACATCACCAAGTGCAGCAACATGGCAATGACAAGGGAGACAGCAGAAAAAGCAGATACTGTAAAATAGAAATCCCATGTGGGGCTCATCAGAGCAAATGGTAAAGAATAAAATATGATACTCCTGAAATCAGACCAAAATCTTATTTCAAACATATTTCAGATAAATGCATTAAACCATCAGTGGAATAAACAGAAGAGATTCCCTTGCAGTGCAGATGCAATATTTTTAAAATGAAGAAATGGAATAATTTTGTCATTTTAAACAGCAGAAAATGATAAACTACCCAGCCTGATTCTTCCCCATGCCAGAAGTGTACATGTAGAAGATAATCCATAGGATTTAAATGCTCCAGCTGCTTCCATACTCAGAACCAGATATAAATTTTACAAGTTCTTTCTCTCTGGTCACCAAAAGAGGAAAAATGAGTAACTTATGCTTCAGGGCTCATACAAATTCCTGAGTACACAAAGAATATGTCCCAGGCAATGACCTATTTTATGTTTACTAAACCCCATAAAATATAGCTGGTTGAGCCAGCAGGTTTGGTTCTATTTTTCTGAATACCAAACAGCAACAGATATGCCTTCAAGAATCAGTGCTTCTCATTTCAAAAAACAAGGAAACTTTTCCTGCAAACAAGTACACAGCAGGCCAAAGTCTCAACCTTTCTAATCGTTCATGAAAACAGCAATTTGGAGTAGAAGGAAAAGGCTTAGTAAAAGCGACGCAATGAAAACGGAACCACCAGTTCTTTTAGGAGATGTTCACAGTTTCCCTAATATTTATTCTCTTTCCCATATCATTTAATCCCATCTGTATCTTCATGGTTTAGTCTAACATTCTGTCAGTTTCTGAAGCACACTGAGTACTACCATCCCAATTATGAACTTAGGTGGTATAAAAACTATTATATTTTTACCAGATCCCCAGAAGTATATGGCAAATGTATTCGCGATGGCAAAGTATATGGCAAATACTAACCTCTTTCATTTTGTCAAATTCATTTTGCAAAGCCTGTTTAGCAATCTCCACTTCTATTAGCTGCTGTCTTAACTTTTCATTTTCATCTTCTGTGGCAGTACGTTTTTCTTCCACATTTTCCAACTCATGATGAAGTCTTACTGAAACATCTTTTGCAACCTAAACAGAACAGTACTGAAATTTAAAAACTAACAAAACATCTTTATTACAGTAGAGCAGGGGTCTCAAACTTGCAGCCCGGGGGCCAATTGCGGCTCGCAGGAAGATAGTTTGCCTTAATATGAAAGTTTAAGGAGTGGGAGTAGCAGCAGCAGCACCTACTTGGCAAGCGCAGGGCTTCTTCCCTGCCTCGTAGGGGCTGGGTCCCACCTGCCCGCCCACACGTTCAGAAGGGGATCCCTCTCCCTGCCCAGCAGTCTTCTCTCTCAGGGGTTTGGCGCCACTGGGGCCTCTGCTTTTAGGTCTCTTTCCCCCCTCTTCGCGGGTCACCTGGTGAGACTGCTGTCACCTCGTCCTCCCTGCACTTCTCCTTCCCCCCCGCCTGGTGCTCCTCCGCTCCCTGCCCAGACATGCCGCGAGAGGGGGTGCTGCCGAGAGAACAGCCTTCTTGCACGTGCTTCCCCCCCCCCAGTCTCGCTGAGCCACACTGGACAAGACCACGGCATCTTGCCAGAGTGGGAGTCAAGAAGCCCCAGGAAGCCCCATTAGCCCTTGGGTACAGGGGAGAGATTACTCTGCTATGGGGCCAGCCTTGCAGAAGTGTGCGAATCTGTGGGCATTTAAACTCCAGAAGTTTACTGCCACCCCCTCCATGGAACCTGGGTGCCTTGTCTTCCTGCAGCATCCCTCCATTGTCCCCAACCTGCGTCTAAAGAGGGCACGCTTCTTATGTGGAGAACGGTAACGCACGGGCAAGAGCAGACCACAGGGGGAAATCTTGCTCTCTTCAGGTTGTCGTCCTTGCTTGTTTGCTGCACTCATTTTACTTCTGGCTCAAAACATGCAGGAGGGAACCCTTACGAAAGCACGTTCTCTGCAAGGAGGAGTACTTGTGCTCTTCCCTCCCCCCTTCCCTTTCCTGTTTCTGCTCACGGCCAGGCGAGGAACGCATTAACCGGGCCATCGATAAAGACAGCGCTTTCCCCCTTCGCCTTGCCTCTGTCCTCACCTTTTGAATGCTCGCCCAGATATATTGTGTCTGAACAGGGAGGCTCTGTCCGCTGACTGTGACGAATGGCTTTTGGCACACTTTCCTCCGGCAAGCTGACCTGATCCACTGGAGAGGCTGGTCACCCTGGCACCCCTTTCAAAGCAAAAGGGTGCAAAGGAAGCGGCTCCTGCATCGGCGGCTGCAGGTCGTCCTGACTGGGCGATGGAGCCACTTCCTTGGGTCAACCCCCTTTGTCCTGTTGCAGGGCAGGGCTCTCACTGGAAGGTGCTGGGGTAAGAGGAGGAGGAGGGAGGATAAACGCCAGCCAGTCAGCGGACAGAGCCTCCCTGTTCAGACACAAAAAGCTTTAGCAAAGCTTTTCTTGTGTAAAATCTGATACGGCCCAGCCTCACCCAGACTCTGCCTCCAGCGGCCCCCAGGTAAATTGAGTTTGGAAGCCCTGCAGTAGAGCTACTTGTGGCCACATTTTGAAGTATCATTTTGCCAACAAAAACTGGGCTGTTACAGATATTCTAAAGCTAGCTGCAGCATTTTAATGACTCATATTTTGAATACAGTTCCAAGTTGAATGAATTCGTTGCCCACTAATTTTAGTTACCAGACAAAATAAATTAGGTGACCTAGATAGCAATGGTTCATGAAACTTTCAGGTCAAAGACCAATCCTTTGCCCACTGGAGCATGGAACATTTGATACAATTCAAAGCCACCACTGAACATGGGAGTTTTACATTCACTTTCGTCAATGGACAAAAAAATGGTTTAACATCACATCCTAGGCTATACACATTGACTGACCACATAAATAGCATTTTAGAAGGTCAATCTTGTGTACCATGCTTAATTGATGGATAGATTTCCATTGGTAATGGTATTTATTTAAAACTCCTTTACTTGTTGTACATGACTAAAAAACAGAATACAGAGAAAATACTTAAGATACTGTTGTCATTGCAAAATAGAATGCAAACAAAATACTTACGATAGCTTTTACTTCTAAGAATGAATAGCAGATTCTGTTTATTAAATTGCAAGTTATGTTTTTAAAAAGAACCGGACAGTATAGATTCTTATCTCAAATGTAGAAACTTTCTGACTATATACACTTATTTAAATTTTGTCTAGTAACAATCAATGAATGAGTTAAGAAGCAGATAAATATTTAATGTGTACCCTGGTCCTATACTGGTCCATGTGTACCCTGGTCCATGACTCAGAAAAAAGTATCTTTGAGTTAAATAGCGCTGCCTTTCAAATACAGGTAAATACAAAAGCATCCTTTAAAAACTGTATTAACAATCAGTCCCAAATTTATTTAAATATGGTGTCAATTATTCTGGGTTTTAAAGGTAAGAATAAAAAAGAAACCAAATAGATATTAAAAATAATAGATGCATCAACTTAATGAGATAAACAGTTAACTTATGCACAGTTCTTATAACCATGGTTATAAAATGAGATTTGTGCATTGATAGAAATATAGACCTGCAATTTCATCTCATTTCTGCTCTCAGCTCACTTCTGCTTAGGCTGCTATCAACCAACAAACACACAACTTGCCATTCTAGGAGTTTTTTTTAAATGTTCTGTTCTATTTCCAATCTAATCAGAAACATTTTCTAGGAGTAACTCTCATGGGCATATATGCATCAGATTGCAGCTTCATTCTGGGCTGTGCTTTTTTTTTAGTTACAAAAACTCAGAGGAAGAAAAATTAGCAGCAAGCAATTATTTACCTGAAAGTGTAAAAGGGAGTTACTCACTCACTCTCAAAGAAAATATAATTATGTATGGAATACTAATATTCAGGATACAGATTATTTAATCATGTGACACCAACACCACAACATGTCTAATTATGGATGAATGAATGGGTATGCACATATGCATGTCCACACACATTAGAAACAAAGTTCAATCAAGCTAATCTGATTTAAAGAAACAGCAAGCAAAAAGGGGGAACAAATAATCCCCTATTAGGGGTTGAGATCTTCTCCTCCTTTTTTTTTAGCAGCTAGGCAAATTGGTATTCTCCTTCCACATTGAAACTAATGGTGGCACATTAGATAATTTTCTATATTCTGAGTGTGGGGGGAAATGGGATGTGATCAACAATAAGAGTCAATCTACTTTTCTAGATATGTGTGCTCATACAAATGGTTATTTAGGAAGCTTAATATAGGGCATCAATTAACACAACTGTCTTATCCAGTGAGCAGGAAAACCTGGGCACCTGTTTTCCACTGGCCCCAAAACTGAATTTGCTTTAAAAATTGGCTGCTTTCCATTGAAAGCCAAGGACACATGGGACCTCCATAGCTTAACAGTTCTTCCCTTGATTTGCCTCCCACATCTTTGCCAACTTCTGGTCCTGTAGTACCTTCAAGTCCTGTTCCAAGCTACGCAGGAGTTCTCCATCAATCTCCCCAGTCTGTGCATAGCGGAGTCTTTTGCGTTCTGCCTTTCGAAGACGGTACTGAAGGATCCTGCAATTTTTGTTGGCCCGCTCCAATTCATGGCGCATTTCCTGTAGCTGGCAGGCATCTTCTTCAAAGAAGCTATCTCTCATCTCATCCATTTCAGTCCTCAGCTCATCTATTTCATTCTAGAATTTAATCAGAAGTATATGATATACATTTTTTGAAAAGGAACATGAGATTTAAAGATGTCTGCACATACTGGCAGGTTTAGAAGTAACCATCTTATGCCCATTTACTAAACAGACCAAAACTTGGCTTAATCATACTGAAATTGGTAGATGTTTGCTATGAGTAACTTCAATTACTGTACACTGATTTCAATGGGTCCACACTAAACATAGCTACATACTCAATTTAACATTTCTTGCAAGCTATAGGTAAATATACTACTTAATCGTCATCATCACCGCCATCATCATGTGACATCAAGTCAATTCTGATCCTTTTCCAGTGTTTTCCAAGTAGAGAATGCTCAGAAGTGGTTTGGCATTCCTTTGGTCTGGGGCCACCCTGGGACTGTGCAACTGGCCCAAGACCACACAGGCTGGTTCTACTCAGAGGAGACACAATGGGGAATTGAACTCTCAACCTTTGGCTCTAAACCACCGGGTTATCCACTCAGCAAGTATACTACTTAGTATTCTAGTTGATTCTGACTTATGACAGCCCTTACCAGGATTTCTTAGGTATAAAGTACCCAGAAGTAGTTTCCAGTCCTTTCTTCTAGTGCACTCTGAGATTTTTGAGATTTTTTCTGCTCTCCCAAGGCTACACAGGCTGCCTCATCTTCCAAGAGACACAGTGTGGAACCAGATTCCCAATCATGCTATAAATCCAGCTAACAATAGTAATAATAATTGGTGAGCCTTTCCAGGGTTTTCTACGTACACTACAGGAGAGAGTACTCATAAGTAGCTTACTATTCCCTTCTTCCAGGGGCGCCCTGAGACTATGCAGCTTCCCCAAGGCCACAAAGGCTGGCTCTTCTGGGATGGACAGCGGGGAACTGGACAGCCAGACACCTTGGGTCCTCCTTAGCCCTTTGGATGCACACTGAGCTATCCAGCAACAGGAGCCCTTATGTTTCCACAATAGGTTAGAAATGTTAAATTCCACATTATCAGAAGGGAAGACACCAGTATCGTTGGACAAACCCAATAACATCTTTACATACTTTTGTTTCCAAATTGTTGTACTGTATTCTAAATGGCCTTAATAACTTTATTCCAGCAGTTTTTCCATGAAGCCCGATTTATCAAAGACATCAGTGCCCATGCATTTCCCTGCACGCCACAGAAAAAAGAAAGAGAAACGAAGCCCCCTCTCCAGAAAACAGAACGAATTTATTTTTTATTTATTTATGCCTTGCTTTTGCTCAGGGCTTCGGTGTACCGCCCATCAGCTGAAGGGTTGTTCCTTTGCCCTTTTCGCCCATGTGGGTTGAGCACAGCGGGGAGGAGAAGCTTCCCCACCAGCTTTGGGCCAAGAGGCTGCTCCCTCTTGACATTTCTCGTCGGGCGGAGGGGGGGCGCGTTGGCGGCCCCCGGGGCCTTCTCTCGGTGGCGCCTCTTGGAGGGGCAAAGCCCCCCCTTTCCCCTTCCTGGGGAGAACGAAGGGGTCCCCGCACCTGCCCGCGACTGGGCCGCACCCGCCTCCTCCACTCACCTTGAGGGTCTCGTTTTCCTCCCGCAGTTTCTCCACCTCCTCCTGCAGCTCCTGCTGCCGCCGAGGGCTCCAGCTCAGGGCGCCTTCGGGGGCTCCGTCGCGGCCATTGCTGTCGTCGGTCCCCGCCGGCGCCATGGGCGAAGGGGTTGAGGGGGCAGGGGATGGGGAGGAGGAGGAAGAGCCGGCCGGACCTTAGAAGGCGGGAAGGAGTTCCCAGAGGGGGGGTGGAAAGTCTGCGGGCAAAAAAGCAACACAAAAATTGTGACGCTGGTGACTTCGCAAAGATCTGTCCTCTGAAGATGCTGGCCACAGAGACTGGCGAAACGTTAGGAAGAACAACCTTCAGAACACAGCCAAAGAGCCCGAAAACCGCCGCCGCCTCCCGGGTTGCCGCCTTTGCCTTGCATCGGGGCCTCTGCCGCCAGCGCCGGTCCCTTGCTTGCTTCAGCTGGAACCAGAGGAGCTCACTTGACGGGCATCCTCCTCCGCCGCCGCCGCCGTCCTCTCAGGCCCTTCGCTGCACCGCACGAAGATGGAAGAGCCGGAGCCGAGGCCGCCGCCTCCTCCTCCTACCGCCCACCCGCCCTTTCTGCACAGGCCTCGGGCCCCCTGCTTGAGCCCCTCTCCGCTTTCGGGGAGCCGCGGCCACTGAGCAAACGCCGCCCGCCCAGCCCTCCTTCCCTCCTTCTCCACCTGCCCTCCGCTTCTGCTCGCCGGGTTCGGGTCTTGGGGAGGCACCTCCTGCCTGAGAACCGGCGGTCCCCTCCCACT